CCGGGCCCGGGGGCGGGGGCGGGGGCAGGGCTCTCACGCCGCGCGGGGCTCCAGCGCCGCCTCCCAGGCTGATTCCGGCTCCGTCCGCTCCCACCGCTGCAGCCCGGTTCGTGTGCCCTCCTAACCGGCCCTTCCGTTGCAAGAACGACCGCGTCTGCCTGTGGATCGGGCGCCAGTGCGACGGCACCGACAACTGTGGGGATGGGACTGACGAGGAGGACTGTGGTGAGCGGGGAGCCAGTTTGCGCCCTAGTTTGGGTGCTGCCCAAGGGCTGGGGGGTGGGCCAAGTGCGAAATACGCCGGGGGGAGGGGGTGGAGCCAAGCCCGGGAGCCCGGGGGCACTTCCTTGCGAGAGAGAAGCCCCTGGAGAAAGCCTGGGAGGCTTCCAGGCGCCTAGGTCTTGAGGTGGAGCTTGGGACTCTGAATGTTTAGGCAGCATTCCCCGAAGCTTGACAGCCAGCCCCAGGGGGTCCCAGCGGCAGGAGGCCGTGGGGTGGCGAATAGTCCGATCTGAAGCCCCCGCCCTCCCCAGAGCCCCCCACGGCCCAGACCCCCCACTGCAAAGACAAGAAGGAGTTTCTGTGCCGGAACCAGCGCTGCCTGTCCTCCTCGCTGCGCTGCAACATGCTGGACGACTGCGGGGACGGCTCGGACGAGGAGGACTGCAGCATCGGTAAGCCCCCGTGCTGGGCTGCGGGGCGGGGGGGCAGAGAATCGAGGCCCTGGCCCAGAGCGGCTCAGGGCAGGGGACCCGCTCTGTCCCCCGCAGACCCCAAGCTGACCAGCTGCGCCACCAACGCCAGCATCTGTGGGGATGAGGCCCGCTGCGTGCGCACCGAGAAAGCCGCCTACTGCGCCTGCCGCTCGGGCTTCCACACCGTGCCAGGCCAGCCCGGATGCCAGGGTAGGAAGGCGGGACTCGGAGGGGGCGGGCAGGCACCCAGACTCTCCATGACCCTCCCACCCCCGTGTAACCCCTAGACATCAACGAGTGCCTGCGCTTCGGCACCTGCTCGCAGCTCTGCAACAACACCAAGGGTGGCCACCTCTGCAGCTGCGCGCGCAACTTCATGAAGACGCACAACACCTGCAAGGCCGAGGGTACTGCCCCCAGCCCGCAGAGGACAGGAGTGGTTGGGGCTAGCAACACCTGGATGTAAACCAGCGCTGACATGTGGGAGGGGATGCTTCCCTCCCCGCACTGTGCCAAAGCACAGAACCCCAGACCCACAGGCCCGCTGCCGGGTAGAGGGTGCTGCTTTGGGGGTTGGCTCATCTGAGGAAGTTTGGGGTGGGGACAGCACACCTATATCCCACATGTGCCTCCTCACCCACCACTCCCCGGAGGAGTACACACAGGCACGCATCACCACACAATCACGTGTACCCCATTTGCTTTTTATTTTCAGGTTTAGCAGAATGTAATTGACAATATTGTCAGATATTTAATGTGTACAGGTGATGATTTGATATATGTATACCTTGTGAATATTTTCCTTTCATTGAATTAACACATCATCATCTCATATTTACCTTCTCGGGGGGCAATGAGAACACGTAAGTTCTACTTTTCCATGTCCTTTGGCGCACACCTGCACCTGCCTGAGTACACATAGCCCCAGCCAGCCGCGCGCACACCCGTGCACCCATGAAGGCATGTGTATACACGCAATCCCACCATGGGCGCTCACAAGCACATATCACACAGCATGTGGCAGAGTGTGGTGATGCCAGCCGGAGACCATGGGGAGGCAGAAGTCCCTGGGGCTGGAGAGGCCCAGAAGGTTTTCTGGAGTGGCAGGTCATGCCAGATTAGCTTAGGGAAGGAGAGGAGGAAGCCCATCCCAGCAGCAGGCCCAGCATCCCCCAGCCTGGCCTCCTGCCTCTGCCTTTTCCCTCACCCAACACCTGGCCTCTTGCCCGTCCAGGCTCTGAGTATCAGGTCCTCTACATCGCCGACGACAATGAGATCCGCAGCCTGTTCCCCAGTCACCCCCATTCGGCTTATGAGCAGGCCTTCCAGGGCGACGAGAGTGTCCGCATCGATGCCATGGATGTCCATGTCAAAGCCGGCCGTGTCTATTGGACCAACTGGCACACGGGCACCATCTCCTACCGCAGCCTGCCACCTGCCGCGCCTCCCACCACTTCCAACCGCCACCGGCGACAGATTGACCGGGGTGTCACCCACCTCAATGTGAGCACCCCACCTGGGATGGGATCCACACAGATTAGATGGGAAGACTGCAAAGAGCAGATGGCTCAGAGCAGAGTTTGAAAGGGCCAGTGGAAGGGGGCAAAGGGTGAGACTGGTGGGCAGGGCAGGCAGGATCGTGTTGTGGGCACGATGACAGGTGGGCAGAGCCATGCCAGTTGTCAGTAGTTGGCTCTACCGCCTCACAGCCCAAGGTGGCAGGGGACAGGGGGGCACACTGGCCTTGAGCCTCAGAGCCACATTCAGCTCCTGATGGTCGATGCCACCTGCTGTGTCGGCCTTGGCCGCCCATTTGACCTCTTTGGGCCTCACTTTGTTCCTCAGTAGAGCAAGGTAATATCTAATCTAGCAAAACATGAGAAAGCTCTAAGTAGGGCTCATAAGGTAAGTGTCGGTGAACCTCTTCAAAATCAGAGAACTGGCTCTCCGCCTGGGATGACTTGGTAGCAGGGACAAGCCGGCAGGTGGTGGTGGGGATAATGGGCAAGAAGACAAAAGGTAGTAGCGCCTGAAATTGTCATCCACCCCATGCAGATTTCAGGGCTCAAGATGCCAAGGGGTATCGCCATTGACTGGGTGGCTGGGAACGTGTACTGGACGGATTCGGGCCGAGATGTGATTGAGGTTGCACAAATGAAGGGCGAGAACCGCAAGACTCTCATCTCGGGCATGATCGACGAGCCGCACGCCATTGTGGTGGACCCGCTGAGGGGGTGTGCAGGGTTCCTGCTCGGGGGAGGCATCCGGGCGGTGCTAGGAAGCCCCTGGGAGGGGAGTGGCTATCCAGCATCCCCAAGCATGTGCTTCCCCTTCCAGACCATCCTGACCTGAGGTCAGAGTTCTCCTCTGGCCCTTGTGTCTTCAGGCCGCCCCCAGCTCTGGCCCTCCCCAGTGCTGCCTTTGCCAGAACTCCCAGCTGGCCTGCTGGGCAGGGGCCTGACCTCCACTTGGCTGGCTGTCATGTGCCGCCAAGTTCCGGCTCCTCCTTTGCTCCACAGGGCAGTTCTGCCCACTTTGATGACTCTGGATCAGCACAGTGTGGTTTTAGAGTAAAAGATCCTTAACCCGGGCAGAGAGCTGACTCCCCTGGTTTTCTCTGGAGGAGGTAGACAGGCCACCCTCCTCCCAATACCCAGCAGGTCCCTGTGCCCAGGCCATGACCTGGTGGCCCACCTTGCTCAGCCTCCTCTGGCAGTCCCGAGGCCTACACACACTTCTTCTCCTTCCCTAGCACCATGTACTGGTCTGACTGGGGGAATCACCCCAAAATTGAAACAGCAGCAATGGATGGGACCCTTCGGGAGACACTGGTACAGGACAACATCCAATGGCCCACAGGTCTGTGGCAGCAGGGGGCAGGGGATGTGGGAGGGGTGGGCTTGCTGAGCCTGAGGTCACGTAAAAGCTAGGAGGGGGAGAGGCTTGGACTGGGATTGACAATGAGTCGTGGAGGCTTTTCCTCGACGTGACTAGGAGTGGTCGTGGAAACAGGACGGAGCTGTCCCAAACATGGAGACAGTTCTGCTTTTCCTCGAGCCTAGGGTGGGAGAGGCTGGGCCTTCACAGTGCCCTCTACCTCCCGCCCCCGCCCAGGCCTGGCTGTGGATTATCACAATGAACGGCTGTACTGGGCAGATGCCAAGCTCTCAGTCATCGGCAGCATCCGGCTCAATGGCACGGACCCCATCGTGGCTGCTGATAGCAAACGAGGTCAGCATCTGAGAGCAGCCTCAGCTGGCCCTGCCCTTGGGCCTCTTGTCCTCCCCACTGAGTCCAAGACCTCATCCAGCACCTGCTATCCTCCTCATCCTGGCGCCCAGCAGTCCTGCAGTTGTCAGGTCGAGGCCTCCCAGGCCTCGACCCCTCCTCTCCCACGCTGGACTCCCTCTGTACCAGCCCTGTCTGGCCCACTTGCCCATTCATTCATTCCACCAATAAGTATCGAGCTGCATGGAGGCAACAGAGGTGGCAGGAGGAGCTTATTAAATGTAGGGAGAGGGAGCAGAAGTCCATCCTGATCCCAGAAGTCTAGGGCTGATGGGACCTTTTGCCAGTAGTGGCCGCAGGAGGAGGAACAGGTTGGGGGGAGTTCTGTTTGGGACGTGTTGAGTTTGGGGTGCCTGGGAGCCGTGGGAGCCAGTGTCCTGGAGAGTGACCAGGGCCTGAGTCCCCTCTGAGTCTACCTCCTCCCCCAGGCCTGAGTCACCCCTTCAGCATCGATGTCTTTGAGGATTACATCTATGGCGTCACCTACATTAACAATCGTGTCTTCAAGATCCATAAGTTTGGACATAGCCCCTTGATCAACCTGACGGGGGGCCTGAGCCACGCCTCTGATGTGGTCCTGTACCACCAACACAAGCAGCCTGAAGGTAGGCGTAGAGGGCAGGCCTGGGGGTAGAGTCTCCAGGCTGTCGCCTCAAATCTCAGTGGGCGGGGGGTGGGAGGTCCTGGGTCCCCAAGGCTCAGCATCCTCCCACCCCTGCCCGCACCCGCAGTGACCAACCCCTGTGACCGCAAGAAGTGTGAGTGGCTCTGCCTGCTGAGCCCCAGTGGGCCTGTCTGCACCTGTCCCAACGGGAAGCGGCTGGACAATGGCACCTGTGTGGCCGTGCCCTCGCCAACACCCCCACCAGATGGTATGCTTGGGCCCCTCCCGCGTCCCCACCTCTGGCCCTGGGACCCTTTGCCCCGCGACCCCTGAGTTCCCCTCTTTCCCTGGCTCTGTGCCTGACGGTCCTTCCCGCAGCTCCTCGACCCGGAACCTGTAACCTGCAGTGCTTCAATGGCGGCAGCTGCTTCCTCAATGCGCGGAGGCAGCCCAAGTGCCGCTGCCAGCCCCGTTACACGGGCGACAAGTGTGAGCTGGACCAGTGCTGGGAGTACTGTCGCAACGGAGGCACATGCGCTGCCTCCCCCTCCGGTATGGCCTTCCGTTCTGCTGCCAAGCCTGCCCTCGGCTCCTCGGCGCCCCCCCGCCCCGCCCCAGCCTCTCGGCCCGCAGGCTCCACCTCGGGCTGATCCCCAGCCACCCCACCCCACCCCACCCCCGGCCGTCCTCCCTGGCTTCACCTCGGCCCCCCGCCCCCTCACGCCTCACGCCTCCAGCCCACGGCCCCAGCATCGCATCCCTCTGCCGCCCGCCCTCCACCCAGGTCCTCCTGGCCCTGCTCCCCCCGCGGGGCCGGCGCCTCAGTGGGCCACAGCCCCGCTCACACATCCTCTCCCGCCAGGCATGCCCACGTGCCGGTGCCCCACGGGCTTCACGGGCCCCAAATGCACCCAGCAGGTGTGTGCGGGCTACTGTGCCAACAACAGCACCTGCACCGTCAACCAGGGCAACCAGCCCCAGTGCCGATGTCTACCTGGCTTCCTGGGGGACCGCTGCCAGTACCGTGAGTGAGCCACCCCCGGGCCCCAGGTCGGGGGACACCCAGGCTGGCCGTCACAGGGGCATGCTTTAGGGAGGGAGGCCACTCGCGGCTTTGGCAGGCTCGGGTTCTCCCCCGTAGAGGCTCAAGGTGGTGAGCCCCCTGGCATCAGGATTATTCAAGCGAAAGCAGTGCCCTGTCAGGCTGTTTGGGGCCGTGTCCTTATGCTCTGAGTCTGTGACAGGGGGGTTGGCCACAGGGGGCTCAGGAGGAGGTGGGAGTCACCTACAAGACCTGGGGGTCCCCTCAGGTGTCCACAAGCTGTGGAGGACCCTCGTGAGGGCGGGGCTTGAGGCACCTCCTCCCCCCGCCCCCACAGGGCAGTGCTCTGGCTACTGTGAGAACCTGGGCACGTGCCAGATGGCCGCCGACGGCTCCCGGCAGTGCCGCTGCACTGCCTACTTCGAGGGACCAAGGTGTGACGTAAACAAGTGCAGCCGCTGTCTCGACGGAGCCTGCGTGGTCAACAAGCAGAGTGGGGACGTCACCTGCAAGTGAGTAGGGCCTGCCCCCCACAGTTCCGCCCGGCCTAGACCCTGCCCTCCTGGCCCGGCCTTAGGCGCTCTGGCCTGTCCGCCCCTCCCTCAGCGCCTCAGCCACCCCCTCCCAGCCCAGCCAGCCTGCCATTCCTTCCCACAGCTGCTCCGATGGCCGGGTGGCCCCCAGCTGTCTGACCTGCGTCGGCCACTGCAGCAACGGCGGCTCCTGCACCATGAACAGCAAAATGATGCCCGAGTGCCAGTGAGTTGGACCCAAGCCTTCCCGAGACCTAGCTCATCCCCACCCCTCCCCAAATCTGAGCAGGGACCCTTGGGACCCTGTGGCCCCTCCCAGTTCCGTGGCAGCCATGGCTGTAGAGGTCGTGCCTGCTCAGGTCTGCCCCTCCTGCCTACAGGTGCCCACCCCACATGGCAGGACCCCGGTGTGAGGAGCAGGTGGTCAGCCAACAGCAGCCCGGACGTAGGTGGCAGGGGATGGGGAGGCAGAGCTCCAGGGGCCTGCAGCAGGGAGATTTTAGCCTCCTGTTTTCCCTGATCCTCTCTGATTCCGTCTCCCACCTCCTCCCCTCCAGATATGGCCTCCATCCTAATCCCTCTGCTGTTGCTGCTGCTGATGCTTCTGGTAGCGGGAGTGGTCTTCTGGTACAAGCGGCGAGTCCGAGGGTGAGTTATGGAAGATTCTGGCTATTAGTTTACCATCCTAGCCTTGCCCTCCTAGAATCCCTGCCCCCTTCAAATCCTGCTTCCCCCAGGGCTAAGGGCTTCCAGCACCAGCGGATGACCAACGGGGCCATGAATGTGGAGATTGGGAACCCCACCTATAAGATGTATGAAGGCGGGGAGCCTGATGATGTAGGGGGCCTACTGGATGCCGACTTTGCCCTGGACCCTGACAAGGTGGGCCGGGAGGACAGAGGAGGAGGCTTCCAGGGTAGAGACAAGAGGCTGTGGGTGGGACGACGAAGGGCACTGGGTTGGATGATGGAATGGAGGTGGGGTGCCGGGCACCTGGGCCACAGATCCCATCCCCTGAGCCACACTTGAACCCTCTGTCACCTTGCAGCCCACCAACTTCACCAACCCCGTGTACGCCACACTCTACATGGGTGGTCACGGCAGCCGCCACTCCCTGGCCAGCACGGACGAGAAGCGAGAACTCCTGGGCCGGGGCCCTGAGGACGAGATAGGGGACCCGTTGGCATAGGGCCCTGATCACTGGACTCACCCCAGAGAGCCTCCTGCCCCCTGCCAGAGAAGTCCTTCGATGAGCCCCCTCCTGCCCAGCCAGCCCTTCCCCGGCCCTGCCGGGGTGTATAAATGTAAAAATGAAGGAATTACTTTTTATATGTGAGTGAGCAAGTGAGCAAGCGAGCACAGTATTATCTCTTTCCGTTCTCCTCCTTCCTGCCTGCTCCTCAGCACCCCCCCCATGCTGCCTTCAGGGAGAGGGGCAGGGAGGGCTCTGGGGGCTCCTGCGGCTCACAGGTACCTGCCTCCCACCTTCCACCAAAATGCGCCCCCACTGGGAGAGCTGGTGGTGCTGCCTCCCCTCCCTGTACGAGTCACTTTGTCAAGGCTCTCCCCTCCCTCACCCCACCCCCACTCTCGTCCCCCCCACCCCCCACCAGCTCCCTGAGGGCTCCTTCTGGGGAGGGAGAGTCCTTTGCTGCCCCTGTCGGGAAGACTTGGCTCTGGCTAAGGGAGCAAGGAAAGGATGGAATTTTTTAGTTCTTCCTTGGGGGCGGGGGGTGGGTGTTCCATGCACCAGCCCCCACTCTGGGGCACCTCTGAGATGGCCATGCTCAATACCCCTCCCAGACAGGCCCTCCCCCTCTCCAGTGCCCCCACCGTGGCTCCCAGGGCTGGAGACTTTCTTTGGTAAATGGTCCCCCCGGCCTCCCCCACCCTCCCCTTGGGACGAGGAGAAGGTGGGGCACACCCAGAAAGGGCAAGCGGGCAGCCCCGCTTTGGGGACATGAACGTTTTAATAATTTTTGCTGAACTCCTTTACAACTAAATAACACAGATATTGTTATAAATAAAATTGTAAAAAAAAGAAAAAAAAACCACTTGTGTCTACCTATGAGTGTGAGACTCTGGGAGCTGGGCTGTGCTTGCCTGCTTCCGCCACCAGAGGGAGGCCTGCTCTGTGCTGGAGGCAGGCTGGAGAGTCTGGTCTTCAGTGCCCTTCTCCCTGAGCTCCCTCCCTCTCCATCTGGCTGCCAGGGGAAGGGGGTGGCACTGGACTTGAGGTGGAAGACCTGTTTCTCCAGGCTATGTGACCTTGAGCCAGAGACTTGACCTTTCTGGATCCCATATTCTCTCTGGCTCTGCGACGGTAACTCCAACACCCGCTTCTCCGCATTGTCACTTACAGGATAACACCACCAGCCCTCCCCAAAACGATCTGCCACGGTGAGAAATCCCACCATAAGAACTGAACACACTGGGGTTGTGAAGGGCTTTCTAATCAGTCCTTCAGGGTGTTCCCACATAGCTCTCTCTGCCTGAGTTTGCTCTTGAAGCACTAGCGTCCCCATGGAGACTAATTAATCAGGAGAAAAGGGGGGTGCCCCTGGACTGAAGGAGAGCTGGGAAGACCAGTTTGCCAGGCCCCACTGGCCACCAACAGATCCAGCTCACCAATCATTTTAGACATCCCAGGGGTTGACAGGAAAGGACTGCTATAATCAGAGGGGCCATAGGTCTACTGCGACCCTCACCCAGAGAGGGGACCCTCTTGCAGAAAGTCACACAGCTTTACACTGTCCAAGCGTGAGAGAAAGTTAGAGCACCGCCCTCCCCTTAACAGCAAACGTGAGCTCAGGGAGGGCGTCCGCAAACACTGGAAGAACCGTTACCCAACTCCCAAAGGAGGGCACTATGTTGCTTCTGCCTCCCTCCCTGGTTCAACCTCCTGAGCTTATTCCCTTCTTGAGGAAGCTATGGGTCTAGGCACCTCTAGAAACAAGAGCCTTCCCCATCCCTCTTAGCCCTGAGACCCCATCTCCAGCCTCAGCCTCCAAGACAGTTCTGAGATCGTCCACTGTCTGGGGCACCCCAGAGCCCCAGGGCAGAGTCACCCTGCTGGGGAGAAGAGGCATCCTCCACTGTTGCTTAGGAAGGTTTGTGACCTCATCTATCCACCAGGTGGCGTACGCACTCCTGCAGCGCTGCTCACTCGTAAGCCCGGCACAGCCTCCTCCCCAACACTAATTATGCACCTGCAGGCGGACCCCTGCCTAGCCTCTCACTTCCTTCCCTCGGGCTCTTCTGCCACACCCCCTCCACCCTCCACCCTCCGCCAGCCGGCTCCCCTCCCTCCCCCAGCGCCTGCCGGCTCCCCACCACCACCAGCCCCACCCCCTCGCTCCCTCCCTCTGCCAGCCGTGCATCTGGCGCCCCCAGGGAGCCACTGATTCTCAGCCTGTCGCCTCAAGATCCTGGGCAGAGCGAGAGGGGCCCCCAGCTGCGGCTTGGAACACACACCCCTCCAGTCAGCTTCCTCCCTCTGCCCCTCAGGACCGGCCAGGAAAGAGTCTACCAGGAGGCAGTCCTCGAACTCCTCACCTGGCAAGGACAGCGGGCCTAAGACAGAGATGAAGAGACAGGGCCCGAGGCTGATACAGACAGAATGAGAGACAGAGATATGGGGATGCAGAGATGCAAGGGCAGAGGCAAAGACCCAGAGACGGGATTGGTGTGTGTGTGTGTATGTCTATAGCTGGAGACAGAAGGAGGTGACCTAAGACTAGCAAAAGGAGAATAGATGAGGTGGGTCAGTCAGGACTCCAGAAGATCAAGACCCTAGTGATGGGCTGCTACCCTGGGTACCCTAGGCCTGGGAGTATCCACTGGCCCCATCTACTACCTCACAGCGGCCCCTGTGCTTGGCACCTGGGCTCAGGATTCTGGTTGGAGCCTTGGGGCATCGGGCCTGGTCATTCCTGCCCCTTCCGGCCTCTCTCCTTTCTGCCCCATCTGCACCCAGGTCCCTGCCTCCTGGCTTCTGTCTGTCTCTCCGGGTATCTCTGAGTCTGCCTCATCTTCTCAGCATCACTGATCCTTTTCTGCTGTCTGTCACATATTTGGATCTGAATATCTCTTTGTATGTGGCTGGGCTTGTCTTTGGGACGGCCAGGGCCAGCGTATACCTGTGTGTGTCCATCTCGGTCTGTGGATGTTTGCCTCTCTGCCAAGGCAAGGAAGGGGGTTGGGGTCCGAGTACCTGGCTGGGTGTGCTTGTCTCTTGCTGCAAATGTGCATTTGTCTGTGTGTGTGTGTGTGTGTGTGTGTGCCTGTGCGTGTGTGTGTGTGTGTTCATCTGTGTGCGTCAGTGTGCCTCTAGGTGTGCACCTGCCTGCATGTGTGTGCTGGTCTCTGCATGAACATGCTTCACTCCGCTCGTGTGCTCACCTCTGTGGTGTGGCCTGCCCCTGTGAATGCATCTGCGTGCGTGCTTGGGGGGGGGGGGGTTGGTGTCTCGGGGTATGCGTCTGTCTCTCTGTCTCTTTGCTTGTCCCCATCTCTCACTGTCTAGGTGTCGGTCATACCACAACCTCAGCCACAGCCTCAGCGCATAGCAACAGCTGACAGCTGAAGACTCCCCGGGCAGGGAAGAGAGCGAGACTAGGGGGAGGAGGGAGCCGAGCCCATGAAGAAACAGCCAAGAGGATAGGGACAGAGACAAGGCTGGGGCTGGGGACAGAGACAAGGGCAGAGACGGAAAAGGAAAGGGACAAGGACCGAGAGGAGCTGGTGGTGAAAGATGGGACAGTGGAAGGGAAGGGGTAGAGACTGCAGCAAGAGGCTGGGCAGGCGGCGCTGAGGGGACTTCCTGCCCCACCCCCACCCCCTGCAGGGACTCTCTGGGCCGCGCGGGGGTCAGCGGTGCGGGGCGAGGGGCAAAAGTGAACGGCCGGTCCAGCAGAGGGGTCCCGAGGCCGCGGAGGTGCCTTGGGGACGGGGGTGGGGGCGGCGGGCGCCGTTTGTCAGCCCTATTGACAGACGTGATGGGGTTTCCGTCCGTGATCAATGATTCTCATCTCCGGGCCAAATGAGCCGCGGGGCGCCCATTCATCCCCGTCAGCGCCGCGCGGCCGCAGCCGCCCGAGGCCCCGCCCGGCCTCACCTCGGCCCCTGCCCTACTCCTGCCCCGGACCCACCTTAGCCCGGAGCCTAGAAGGGGCCCGGAGCACCGAGGGACCCTGATCTTGTGGGGCCTCTGACCCTCGCCGGGCTCCTGCTCCGCCGTGCACCCCTTCGGGGACATGGTCCTGGAGCCTCGGGCCCCACGCCCGGCCCCATCCCTCATCGGCGCACAGACCTAGCCCCTCGGGTACGCGACCCCTAGGCCCCGCAGTCCTCCGCGCTTCGCACCTGGGCCGGGGGCGTGTCCGGGGCGTGTCGGGGTGAAAGTCACCTTCGGTGCCCCCAGCTGGGCGGGAGGGGGCGCGCGGGGCGCGGCCGGGATTGGAGCGACGCGGAGCCCCGCCCCCCCCCCCCGCCCGCCCGAGTCCGACCCAACTTTCTCCCCCGCCCGCGCCCCGCCCCCAGCGCCGAGCTCCGCTCCTCTCTCTCAGTCCGCGCGGGCCACGCCGCCTGCTCCCGCCGCTCCGGCAGCTGCCCCACGGCGCGCCAGCCCGGGGCCCCTCGCCCCCAGGCCCGGCTCCGGCCTGCCCGGGACCAGTCCCGCCCGCCCCGCTCGGCCGCCCGGGAAGATGCGGCTGCTCCTGGAATGGCTTCTCTTGCTCTTTGGTCCGTGGCTCCTGAGGAAGGTAAGGGCGAGCCCGGCTGGAGCGGGAGTGCCGGGGTCCGGGACGCAAAGGTCCCAGAGTGCGAGGGGCTCAGTGCGCCCGCCCGGCCCCCAGCGCGGAGCGTCCCAACTTTGCGCGGCGCCGGGGACGCGGACAGACAGACTCCCCGATCCAGGACGGGCGTTCTCCCAGCCCAAGTTGGCTGAGGGTTGGGGGTGGGTGCCGGGGTGGAGGCCCGACTTGGATCTGGCTCCCCGCTCGGCGGGGGAGGGGACGAAGCCCGACCCGCGAGTGCGCCAGACTGAGCGGGAGTGCGAGACAGACAGACAAGCCGGCAGGGTGTCAGCCTTGCCGTCTTTCCGCGCCAACCTCGCTCGCCTTCCTCGCTGTCTGTCCTTCCACCCTTCCACCCCGCCTTCCCATTTCTCTTCTCTGCACTTGTCACAATGCCAGGTGGGCACTGTGTTCTGAGCATACACGACCCGAACACACGCGCGCACACAGATTCGGCCGAACTTGGCTACAATCTCCCATCACATTTCTCGCGGAGACACCTTCCCCCCTGCACAAACCTCGCAGACACACCCCTCTCTCTCGAGCCCAGCTGATGAGGGTAGGGGCTGTCTGGGAGGGGTGTCTCTCTTCCTGTGCTCTCCTTGCTCCCACATCCCACGGCTGCCTCTTCCCCCCCCCCCCCCCCCCCCCCCCGGGGCGAGAACCGAGGCTAAGGAGGCCCAGATTTGATCTGCCTCCCTCCCAACTTAGAGGCTTCAACTGCCGAGCGCCCGTGTGCTCCTATGTGCTGGTGTGGAGTGTGTGGGTCAGCGCTTGCACCTCTGTGCACGCATGTGTGTGGGGCAGCCAGGCTTCGGTCTCTAGTGCTGAGGTCCAGGGTGCATGTGTAAGCTACTGTGGTGTGTGGTGTTGGCTTTGAAGGGGTGAGTCAGTGCCCTGCCCTGTGCCCCACAATGGGGGCCTAGGCCCTGGACCCCACCTCCTTTCATGGCCTCCTTGCCCATGACTTTTTCGTTTCCTGCACCCTAACTGCGACTTCCCTGGCTTGGCGGCAGGCACGTAGCTTCCTAAACCCCTACTCCCTGCACACCAGCCCCAAGCCCCTGCAGAATCTGCAAGGGGTGTAGTACTCCTACCTTTCCCCTGCCAACACTTGGACCCCACCTGCTCAGCCAAATCGAACTCAACAACTCCAGCAGGGTAGGGGCTGTCCTAGAAGGTGGTGATTGAGCTTCCTGATTCTCCCAAACGTGCCTGGTGACCTTGAGGGGCTGGAATGTGGGCAGAGGCCCCCTTCACAAAAATTGCTTCCCCTGGCAGGAGCTCCCTTTGGACTCGCTGCCCAGCTCTGCCCTTAGCCTACTGCAGGAGGGGGCCTGGGCCCCACAACCCATCTGTGTATGTGAAGGCCTGGGGGAGAGGAGGTAAGGATGCTACTCCCCTGCCCCTCCTTTGTACTTCCTCCCCACTCTCCTCTCCACTCTCCCCATCAAATAAACTCCCCTGTGGACAGATCTGGTTTAATTTCCTTTGCCCCCCTGAAGGGGAATGAAACATCTGGTGAAGACTTGAAGGAGAGTAAGCGTGAGGATGTGAGCGATGGGGATCTGAGTGTGTGTGAGCTGGTTGTGGGCCTCCGTGTTGGAGTCAGTGGGGGAGAGTGTATCTGCCATTTGGTCCAGCTTGTGTGCATGTGAGAATCAGTGTTTACACGCATGTAAGGCCTGTGGGTGTGTCCATATGTGTAATTGCACGGCAGAGTGTGTGTAGAGAAGTGTTTGTGTGTCCAAGTACCTATCTGTGTAGGCTTATGTGCACTTGTGAGTACAGTATGGGCACATGTGCATGTCCCAAGGTGGGTCTCCAAGTGCATCTGTGTGCTGGGGTGCACATATTGCCTGTAGGTGAGTCTCTGGCATTTGTGAGAGTCTGTGTGCTTGTGGTTTTGAGTGCCTTTGAGTGTGGGTATGGGATTGTGAGCCTCAGGATGTGTTCACGTATCTGAGTGTGGCTTGTGTGTGTGTGTGTGTGTGTGTGTGTGTGTGTGTGAGCTCAGGGCTGTCTCAGTGCCAGGGCTGGGAGTATGTTGACATGGTAAGAGGCTGGTGGGGGACAGTTTACAAGGTAGCTCTTTGGAAAATCCTAATTGTCCAACGCTAACAACCCTGCCTCCCCAGCCCCCTCCTGGGCCTGGGACTCCAGGCTTCTGCTACCCCTGGGGCTGTGGCCTTTTGGCCTGACCTTCTTCAGGATCTTTCTGATAAGGTCTCTGACTCCTCTCCCCCTCTGTCTCTTATCTTCCCCACCCCTTCCCAAAGCGGCTGCCTACTGGGAGAAGCAGCAGGAGATCAATAGTCACTAATCACTAATCACTAATTACTAATTAGCTGGGGGAGGGCAGGGGCGGGGCCCTGTGGGACCTTCCAGCTCTATCCTGCCTCAGGGCAGGATTAGGCCTGAGAGAGCCTCTCAGAGCCGGCGGGGCCCCAGACCTGCATCTAGCCACCCCCTCCTGCCTCATACCCCTCTCCAGCCCCCCAGCTAATCTCTGGCTGGGCCACTTAGGCACGTGCAGCCTGGGTGAGGGCCCAGAGCCTTGGCGGGGATTTGGGGTAATCAGGGGCCGCAGCTGGGCTAGGGGCACAGGAGAAGGGGGGCCCTGTGACAGCTCCCTTGGGCCAGAGCCTTCATGTATGAGAGAGGTGCTCGTTGGAAAGGAGAATTTAGAGGGTCATGGGGTTAGGGTGGGGGAGGAATTGGAGATCCAGGACTGGGTGACTGGGGAAGAGGTGAGGTAATTGGGAGACAGAAAAAAGGTAATGAAGGGTCACTGGGGTCAGAGGCGAGGTCCCTGGGAAGGGGCGACATAAACGTTGGAAGAGACCAGGTAAGTGGAGGGGGCATCCCAGGGCTCAGAGATGAAGTCATTGTAAAGGAGATGGGGAACTTTGAACAGAGCCCAGCAACTCCACATGGGTGGGGTCCAGGAAGGGGACAGGGTGACAGAGAGAGGGCAGGGTCATGGGGTAGGTAGGGGTCCCAGGGCTCAAGCACGGCTGGGCGCAATGGGGAGTCGCAGGGTGTGGGGTGCAAGCGAGCTGCGGGGTGGGAATGGGGAGCAGGAAGCGCTGCCTTGAGCGCTAGAAATTGGCGAGTCTCCCCCTCTCCCTCTCCTGCCCCTCCTCCACCTCCACCCCGCCCACTCCCCCTCCGGCTCTGGCTTCGGGAAATTACATCCCCGCTCCGCGGCTCTTCCCCCACCACCACCACCGCGCCCCGGAGCCCGCGCCTTTATAGGCACATTTATTGCAATAATAAAGTGAGGCGCGGGGCGGGGGGCGGGGGGGGCGGTCGTTCCCGGAGGGACCGCGCCGGCTCTAGGAAGCAGGGAAATAAAATAAAATAAAATAAAATCAAAATTCAGATAACGGTAGCCTTGCGCTGCAGGCCTAGAGCAAGCGGGCAGGCGGGGCTGAGGGGGAGGGGGTGCCCGGCCCAAGGGCAGAGCCCGCCCCACCAGCGGTCCCCGCCCCCCACGCTATAGTGGGGTCTGGAAGGAGGTATCATCGCTTCCACCTGCCCCCTCCCATAGCCTAATCCTGCCCCTCTTCTGCCTTTTCCTCTGACTTGTCCTCCATACCTGTCCTCAGCTCCTGTCTCTGCCCCTGTTTCCCATCTCCTTCCTTGTCCCCCATTGCCCATTCCAGTCCCCATTCACATTTGCCATCCCCATCTCCTGGGTCTCTGCATCCCTCCGCACCCCTGTTCCTGCCCAGTAACCCATCCCCCATTTCTGTTCCCGCCCCCGTCTGCTCCCCATCCCCATCCTCCAGTTCCTATCCCACCCTCAGTCCTGCTTGCTGTCCCCAGTGCCCATCCCTCATCCACCATCCCTGTCCTCCTTCATCCCCATTTTGGCTCCCGTACCATTCTCTACCCCTCGTCATTCCCCTAGTTCCTACCCCATCTACATCCCTGTCTCTGTCCAACGGCTAACCACCATGTAGGATCTCCTCTCCATCCCAGTTCCCGTGCCTATCCTTGTTCCATCCTTATCTGTGCACCATATACCTGTGCCTGCCGAGTCCCAAACCCCAGTCCCCCCCTCTCTCCATCGCAGCCCTCACCCCGGCCTGTCCTGTCCACCCGCCTCTGTCCTTACCCCCATCTCTGTCCCTGGTTCCCAACCAGACCCTGTCTATTCCACCCCGCCCTGTCTGCGGTGGCCCCCACCCCCACCCCTTGCTAGGTACAAGGGCTTCATACGCTATTCCCTGCCCTTCCTCAGCCCAGGCCTGGAGCACTGTTCCTTCCCCAACCACAGGGTGCCGTTCCCTTCCCCTGGTCCGGAATCCTGAGCAGCCCCACCTGACCCACGCAGCCGGAGAGAAGCCAGGGACTGGCCTGGAAGCCTGGGGGAGGTGCGCCCTGCAATGCGGATGGGGGGCCAACAGCCTGAACCTCCCCCCTTCCCCCCCCGCGGTCCCATCCCGCAAGAACCCCCCACACACACACACGCACAGTGGAGTTTGTTCAGCAGCAAGAGGCTGCCTCAACTCCCCTCCATTGCGTGGGCTCACTGCCTCAGGGGCAAAGCGCTCCTGGCTGGGCTCCCGCCCCGCATGGGCCTGGAGGCGCCTGGTGAGGAGCACCCCCCACCCCCACCCCCACCCCCGCCTGCCACCAAGCACCTCCGCCCCCTGCGCCGACAGCCAGACTAGCCTCTCCCCTCGGCAAATGTCACTGTGCCCAATTAGCTTAATTAAACCAGCTCTGGAGCGAGGGGGACCCCTCTTCGGACAGCACCCTGCTCCCACTCTCAGTCAGAAAGAGGGAGGGACAGCACCATGGGTCTGGGGAAAGAGGGGCTCTTTTATCACCCTGCTTTCCCTCACTCCCACCGCACCCACAGATGGAGACAGACAGCCTGAAGGATAGAGGGAAAGAACCAAGAGAGACAGACATAAACAGGGAGAAAAACAGAATCACGGAAGGAGAAAATTCGAGACAGAGTGAGGGACTGAGAGAAGAGTCGCAGAGAGAGATGGAAAAACAGTGAAAGAGGGAGCACGCGAGAGAGGGAGAGTGATCGTGCAAGCGAGGAAGCCAGAGGGAGGATTTGATTTTATTTTATTCCATGTTCCCATTTCTCGGCTCGTTTCCTCACAGGCTCTCACCCCTCCCTGTCTGAGCTCCCCCAAGGTCGCTTTGGCCGCCCCCCCAACTCTTCCCTTTTATCTTGGCAGTCTCCCGCAGCGGGTGGGGGTGCGGGTGCCCCAAGCCCAGGGATTTGCCAGGATCAGAGAAGCGCAGACAGCAATTTGTCTGGGATCGCCAGGTGGTGGGGGCCGGGGGGGACCCCCAGCACCCCTCACCACCCAGCCAAACCTCCTTCCCTCTCCCAGTCCCTGCCTGCGAGGAGTCGCTGGACTGAAGCAGCCCTTGACAAGTCCTGGGCTGGATGCAGGACTATGAGTGCTGCAGGGGTGTACTGGGAGGGGGTGCCTCAGAGGCATTCGGGGTCATAAGAGCAGGTGACTGGAGACTGATGGATGCCCCTGGAAAGGCAGCGTTGGGCCCAGAAGGGTGAGGAGATTAGGAGTCAGAGTTCAAATGATTCCCCCCTTCTTTGACTTTCTCTGGAAGCCTCATGCACTCCCTTTCTCCAATGACCTCCCTGAGGCTCAGGCCCTGCCCTCTCCAAGCCCACCTCCTTGGACGCCTGCCTTGCCCCCTCTCCCCCCAGCGGTGGCCTGGGACCCTTTCCACCGTCCTTCTCAGGCCCACCCTCCTGGTGTTAGCTGCCAGCTCAAGCTTGTCTGTCTGAGTCAATCACTCTTGCCGCCCCCGCCCCCCTCACCTGAGCTGGGAGGAGGGATGGACGGGAAGAGGAATGAGGGGGGCGATAAATATGTATGACGAGCGGGTGGCGGCCGCAGCATTAATAACCCGGGATCGCAGTGCTGCAGGGATGGGGACCAGGCGGTGGAGATTCTAGCCCAGCAGCTTGACTCCGGCATTCCTGTCCCTTGTGGACTCATGGTGTGTACACAGGGTGTGTCCAAACAGAGGGGGGCACCCATGCTACCAGGCCTCTTTACCTACCCAAAGCTCAGCCTGCAGGCCAGTGCGGGGAACCCCCCAGGGACCAGTCATATACAACTCACACAAATGCACCCCCCCCAACAGACCGCACTTGTTCATTCTGTCATTGTGGATATAGTGACACACACCCTCGAGAAAGAGCTTGAGACATGGACAGAGGATGATAGGGGCTCACACAGGAAAAGTAACAGTGCCAGAGAACCAGACACAGCCAACCTAGGCATACAACTACACCAGTCACACAGACGCAGCCACCACAAACTGACAGACAGCCTCATTCAGATCAACACACCGACACACACAGCCAACCCAGACACATAATACAACCCAGGCACATATACATAGCCCCCACAGACTGACACAACAGTCAGCACCACAGGCAGACACATACACACACACACACACACACACACACACACACACACACACACAGGCTCCTCAGACCACCGTGCACAGCCACTCCAGGCAGACACATACACCCATAACCATAGGTTGAGACACATGGTGAGCGTGCACGAGCACACATGCTCTCCCACACACCGTCACGCCAGGCACACAGACACACACACACACAACCAAGCCCGGGCTAACAGAAACACCACCACCCCAGGCTGACACACACACGCTACCACTCCAGACAATCTGAACCTGGGCTGCAGGGGCCACACCGACCGGCCGCAGCTAACAGTCTGACTGACACACTCTGACACCCCGGGCTCCTCTCCCTGCCGCTCCCCTCGCTGGAGCGGCATCTCCATATTTCTTCCCCTGGCTCTCACACATCTCCTTCCCTCCCGGCCACCCCCCACCCCACCCCACCAGCCCCAGATAATTGATGGCCCGGGCCTGGCCCGGCCGCTCCCGCCTCTCGATCCATCTTGTACTCGCGCCCGCGCTGTCTCCCTGGATCGGCCCCCACCTGAGACAGGCAGAGACGGGTGAGGGCGGGCGGGGTTGGTCCTCCCGCCCCCTCCAAGCCCAGTGAAGGACCACTAGGCGGCCTCCCCCACAGTAAGAGTGCCGGAGACGGAGAGGGGTGCCCGCAGAGCCCCCCAGCCTCAACCCACAGCGCGGAGACTCTCCAGGGCTCTTAGTTCAATCGGTTTCCCGGGCCCCTCCCGGCAAGGGGAGTGGAGGCTGAGGCCTGCGTGGGGGGCTTTAATCTCAGCAGAGGTGTTGGGAGGTCTTCACTTCTTTCCTGATGCTGGGATGTTGACAGCGGTCATGGCCTGCACTGCCTGAGTCCACCTCCTCCCTGGTCCACCATTACTCGGAACCAAGCAGGTTCCAGGCCAGGGGAGACTCAGACCGCGTCCACAGCTCCACTCCCTATTCTACCCCTGCGGGCTTTGGCTTTTTTGCCTTTCTCAGCTCGCATCGGAGTGCTCTGAGAACACAAGGATTCTCAGTGTCATTTCACAGATGGAGAAACTGAGTACTGGTCAGTGACTTGGCCAAGAGCACAGAGGGTTGAAGGGCTGCAGGCCTGCACCAGTACACGCTCCCGGAACCACTGACTGTGGACTGCCCAGTTCCCTTTGGGCTCCTAGCGGCTGGGAAAAGGGGTTGGCCGGGTGGGGGGTGGGGGGGGTAGGGCCCTGGGATGGCCAAGGACAACTCCGGCGTCTCTCTTTTCTGCTCTTTCTCCGTCCACAGGTCGTCAGTGCCCAGATTCCGGAGTCCGGGAGGCCCCAGTACCTGGAGCTGCGCCCCACCGCGGCCAGAGGGGGCGCCCCCGGCCAACAGCTCGCGGTGCCGAGGGCTTCCCACGGCCTGGGCACAGCCCGCGCCTGGAGCTGGGCCTGGCCGGCTAATCACACCGAGGCGCTGGCCCGGGCGGGGGCGCTGCCTGCGCCGCGCACCAAGAGGAAGCCGTCTATCAAAGCGGCCCGCGCCAAAAAGATCTTTGGCTGGGGGGACTTCTACTTCCGGGTACACACGCTCAAGTTCTCGCTGCTGGTGACCGGCAAGATCGTGGACCACGTGAACGGTACCTTCAGCGTGTACTTCCGCCACAACTCGTCTAGCCTGGGCAACCTCAGCGTCAGTATCGTGCCGCCCTCCAAGCGTGTCGAGTTCGGGGGCGTCTGGCTGCCCGGGCCGGCTCCCCACCCGCTGCAGTCTACGCTGGCCCTGGAAGGGGTGCTCCCCGGGCTGGGGCCCCCGCTGGGGATAGCGGCCGCGGGACCCGGGCTAGGGGGTACCCTCGGGGGCGCGCTGGCGGGCCCATTCGGGGGTGCGCTGGGAGTGCCCGGGGCCAAAGAGTCTCGCGCTTTCAACTGCCACGTGGAGTATGAGAAGACCAACCGCGCGCGCAAGCACCGCCCGTGCCTGTACGACCCGTCGCAGGTGTGCTTCACCGAGCACACGCAGAGCCAGGCCGCCTGGCTCTGCGCCAAGCCCTTCAAAGTCATCTGCATCTTCGTCTCCTTCCTCAGCTTTGACTACAAACTGGTGCAGAAGGTGTGCCCAGACTATAACTTCCAGAGTGAGCACCCTTACTTTGGGTAGCGCGCCTCGCCCTCGCCTGGGCCCTAAGCTTCCCGCCAAATCCCGGCCTCCCTAAGTGGGACCCCTCCCTGTGCCCCGCAGCTCCTGTGGCCGCGTCCACCCCTTCCATTCCGAGGGCGAAAGGAACAGCCCTCCCGGGGACCAAGAGCCATCAGCCGGCGTAGGTCCACCCTTTCCTTATGGGGAGTGCCCACGAGGCAGTGGGGCGGCGAGGGGGGGAGAGGTAGCCCCCTCAGCTGCCTCCCAAAGTGGAGAGGCAAGAGCGCAGGCCTAGAATAGGCGGGGCTTGGAGGCGGTCCCGGCGTCCCTCACGTCTGCCGTGGGTCCCCGCCTCATGCCGCAGGCGCTGGGCTGGACGTTCCCTTTGTCCGCATCTTTAATGACGCCTGGCCTGGCACCCTCGTCGCACCCTTTCTTACCCCCAGGCCCTTGTCCTCCTGTTCCACCCTGTCGCCACGTAAAGACTGTGAGGCCTATAAACTGCGGCCTATCCCCGACCCCTTCTGCCTGCCGGTATGCCTGTCCGCCTTTCCCCGAAACCCTAATTAGGGTGCGGAAGCAGCACTCCTGGGCCTAGGCGATCGACTGGGCGCCTGCCCTCTCTGCCCGCCTCCCTCCCGTCCCTGCAGTCCTGCTCCACCTGCCCCTTTCCGGCTGCTTCCTCTTGGTGATATTTTTCTACGCCAAAACAGACGGGAAAGGGAACAAAATAAAGTGAAATCCAATACGTGTCTGTGTGAGAGACCTTCGTAGGGAAGGGGGTGGTGCTGTGGCAGAGACCTGGCCAGGGCCTCCTCCCTCGGCGGCTCGTGGAAACTGAGGCAAATATTGAGGGAGCTAGCACCTTGGAGGTCATCCAGGACCAGATCAGGGAGAGAGGAGGGCGACCCTTGCGGTAGGAGCTCTGACAGGTGGGGATTTTCTCCCTGAGGTGGGCGAGGGGAAGCTGCAGCAGATCGAGTGGGGATGAGACCTGAGAGGGGACTACCAGCGGACAGTTGACACGACTTGAGGGAGGAGGTACAAGGCCTTGAAATGGGGTGGAGTAGCAGGGACAGCGTAGGCAGAGCGCTGACAACCTGCTAACCTCCGAGGGGCTGGCGGGAGGCGGCATGTGGGGGGGGAGGGGGAACGGTGTTTGCGGCATCTGGAGTCATCGATCTTCCTTTTCCTTCCTAATTTCGTGGGCGCTGAGTTTGCAGACGGCTGAGAGAAGGAGGGAGGCCAGAGACGAGGGGGTGGGGGAAGGGACGAGCGCGAGTTTGGAGAGCCGGGCCGCGTCGCTGCCGCTCGCCGCCTGCAAACGAGGCCCCCTTCAGCCAGCTGCCCACCCTCCCCACCCCGCCCCTGCAGCTCCCTCCTGCCGCCGCCGCTGCTAATTTTATCCGCCCCCAACTCTGGCCCGGGCGTTAATTGGCTGCGGCTTCATTAGCAGTTCTCAAGCTCAGCCGCCCCCCTCCCCTGGGGACCCCCGACTGGGGCGAGAGAGGGGGTAGGGACAAGCTGAGGCACAGAACGACACCTCAACACCTCGTCTTCTGCCCTCCTTCTCCTTGAGTCCTGGGCCAAAATACCGACTCAGAGAGAGTGCAGGACTCTCCAGGGAATTGCCCACTGGTTCTAGCAGGAAACTGAGTCAGAGGTGAGTCTGATCTAGACATGCCTGGAAGTGAAAAGTCGTTGAGGGGAAAATAAATCATGGATGGATGGATGGATGGATGGATGGATGGATGGATGGATGGATGTGAGAGGAGGAGGGAGGTGGGAGGTGGTTGTAGGTCAGAGATTGGAGGAAGGAGAGGAACCCCCAAAGAGAGCCCGTTGCTGGAAAGACCTGAGAATGCCTGAGGCTAGAGTAGGAGGGAAGGAGGTTAGAGCTAAGCCAGGACTTCTGAGGCCTGGTATGAGAGCCAAGTGGGAATGTTTAGAATTAGCAGGTTAGCCTATCTGGGCCTCAGTTTCCTCACTTGTAAGGCAATGATAAAATAGCATGTCCTGGAGATTAAATGAGACTTTGCATGGGAACGTGTTTTGTGATGGATTGTCCTTCTCTTCCTCTGACTCACAAACTGTGCCCTTTACAGCCGTCCTCTTCTCCTCTTCCCCCACCCCTTCCCCCTGGGACATCTGGACCTCTGGGAGCTGAGCTGCCCCTGCCCATAACTGCACTTGTTGCATTTTGTTACCTGCTGTCCCAGCAGTCAGTGATCTATTCTTATACCTCCAAGGCTAGGCCATGTCTGGCACAGAGTAGGAGCTCAACACGTCTGTTGAATGAATGAGTGAATGAATGAATGAATGAATGTGTAATTTTGCTAAGTAAGGCAATGGTTCTCAAAATCACTGCTTATTAGAATCACTGACAGGTTTCATTGTCACCATGAGTGGGCAAATGTCTACTCATTAAGATCCATTGAATTAGAACCTCTGAAGAGAAGCCTCACACTCATATATTTATATTACATGCCCCAGCCAATTCTGATACCGAGGTTTGGGGACCTACTTCTAAGAGGGGTCAGTGAGTCCCTCTCCCAAAGGATGAGTCCAGACAAAGTCAGGCTAAAAGGAAGATCCTGTGTGGTTCCAAGGATCTAGAGCCCCAGAGATATAAAGAGAGCTCACTGACAGCTGGAGCAGCAAGAGGTGAACAGGTAGCAAAAGTGCAACAGGAAGGGGGCACCTCACTCATCTCCAGGATATCGCAGGAGAAGGAGATAACCAAGGAGTAGTCAGAGGATCAGGGGAGGGTGATCCATCCCAGAGCATGTTTACATACAGTCTCACTTAATCCTCACTACATATTATTTTTGAATTACAAGTGAGGAAACTGAGGGCCAGATAGGCTAATTTGCTAGTTTGTCCCAGAGGTGGAACTTGAACTCAGGTCTCACCCTTCCAAGCCAGAGGGCTTTCCAGTGCACCAAGGCTCTCTAGCTCGAAGACGAGTCTTTATATTTTCAAAGAGCCTAATAATGCTAGGTATTCAGTAGGCACCCAGTAAATGGCTGTTGTTTGGACAACAGTGGGGGGAAACCCACTAAGCTCCGGGACAATGAGGAGGTGGTGCAGAACTGGATCTCTTTTCTGTCAGGCAAGGAGCTTCTGTCTGACCATGGGCTACAGATGAGGAACTGAAGCGGAAGAGGGAGGGGGAAAAAAAAACTACAATTCCCAAGAGACCATAAAGGGGCCACCTCACGCATGCGTAGGTCCCTCCCCTTAATCTGGTGGTTTCTCGGGCCGGGCAGCTCTCGCGCACGCGCTCTCGGATCGGTCTTCTTCCTACCGTTTGCTTACCCCGGCCAGAGTTGGTGGCTGGACCTCCTGAGACCTCGGGTTGCGATGCTGCCCTTCTCTTTGCTCTGGGCGACTCGGGTAAGAATGGGGCTTCGGAGATTGGGTGACCAATAGAAAGCGAGCTCCCCTCCTACCTCAGTTCCCATTCACAAACTCTGGGGTTCTCCTGGCTTTTCCACGCACGTGGTTTTGGTCCTCGGGGAGCGGACTTGCAACTAGGGAATCCTTGAGAACCCCTCCACCCCCAGTGCCCGCGGAGCACCTGGGGCCCCTCCCCATTCCGGCAACCAGACGCCCGAGGGCCTGCGACCACCCATTTCACGTGGCATTAAGGAGAGAACTGCACCAGATGCCCCGTGGACCCTGGTGAACAAGCCGGTTTCCTGGACTGGACCTGCGAGCCGAGTCTTTCCTGCCGGCTCTGAGCAGTGCAGATGATGCAACGCGGCCCCACTACTTACATCAGGCGTCCCTTGGCTTTGTGGGCTGGAAGGACATGGGAAGAGTGGGGGGCACAGCGGGCAGGATGTAGGTTCTGGCTTCCCTGCCAGCAGGCTCCCCACTACCCACCACCACCATCCCCCTTTCCCCAGAGACTGCTAATGGTCTCCTCCGCCACCTCCATTGCTCTGAAAACCCCCTACAGCCTATTGCCTGAATCTTTGCCAACTCAGCCTCCAACCCCCTGACTGCCATGGAGGTCCTGCAGGAAGACCCTTTTGTTCCTGTGGGTTGGGGAGGTTCTGGAACCTCAGTAGACTGACCCTGAGCCCCAGAGACATAGGCTTCTAGAGGACAAACTTTGCCCTATGGCTTTGCAGAGTGGTTCATGGGCCAAGGTGGAGGGAAATTCTGAGGTGAGGTAAATGGACCAAATCAGAACCACCCCCTGGACATTGATCTCGACCTGGGCTCTGGAACTGGCATTTGAAGGCGGAGGTGGGGGTGGTGAGAATTGGAAAAGTCTGGCTGGACCACTGGCTGCTAGATTTGGAGCCAGAAAGCCTGATAAGCATGGTTGAGGGTTGTTGGGAGACTGTTTGGATGCTTTTTATTTGACTCTTGTTTTTCCTCTCCTAGCCTCTGCAGAGATGTGGTCAGCTGGTGAGGAGGGCCATCCGGTGCCAGCACAGTGAGGTGGCCCAGACCCAGACTGGAGAAGCAACCAGGGGCTGGACAGGCCAGGAGAGTCTGTCAGACAGTGACCCTGAGATGTGGGAGCTGCTGCAGAGGGAGAAGGACAGGCAGTGTCGTGGCCTGGAGCTCATTGCCTCAGAGGTGGGGCTTGGGGAGCGAGGCTAAGGCATGGGCCACAGTGGGTGCAGGAAGTAACAGGCCATCGTACTGCTGTTTCTCCACATTTCCCTTTCAGACACAGGGCCTTCTTGCTGGGCCTTATCTCCTTCTCTTCTTACTGTCCTCTGAAGAAAAGGCAGGGCCAGTCTGGATTATGGGATGGGGACATTAGAGAGCTTCCAAAGCTGTCCGGGGCCCCTGTAATCTAGTCTGGTCCCTTCCCCTTCCCAAGAGGAAAGAGGAGCCTGGAAGCATAGGTTCGAGTGGACAGGTAGCCTTGCTGGGGACACCTGTCACAGCAGCTGGGTTTCTCAGGATGCTTCCTCTGGCCTTTCTTCAGGCCTGACAAGGAACACTGAATGAACAGAGCTTTCTGTAGAGCCCAGCTCCTCCCTGCAGCCTCGGGCTCTGGCAGGGAGGGGCTGTGGGGGGCTCCAGGGAAAGGGACTCAATACCTTCTGACATTAACCCCCCCCACCCCCCCAGAACTTCTGCAGCCGAGCGGCACTGGAGGCCCTGGGGTCCTGTCTCAACAACAAGTACTCGGAGGGTTATCCTGGGAAGAGGTGAGGGCTAGGCACCAGAGGGCTGGAAGGCAGCCTCGGGGATGGTGCTCCCCGTGGGGGACACCTGCCTGTACCTTCCCAGTGTGTATAGAGGAGTGGCCTTTGCTGCTGGTTGTGGGGGATCCTGGAACCCTTTTTGTGTGCCCTGATATACCCTCTTCTCATGGCAGATATTATGGAGGAGCAGAGGTAGTGGATGAAATTGAGCTGCTGTGTCAGCGGCGGGCCTTGGAGGCCTTTGACCTGGATCCTGCACAGTGGGGAGTCAACGTCCAGCCATACTCAGGCTCTCCGGCTAATCTGGCTGCCTACACAGCCCTTCTGCAGCCTCATGACCGAATCATGGGGCTGGACTTGCCTGATGGGGGCCAGTGAGTATGGATGGGGTGGGTGATGGGTTTGGTGGGCAGGATGGGCATTGTTATGGAACACCTCCCGTGGGCCCTGCCCTGCAAGTCAGTGGATGAGGACGAGAAGAGCCTAGTCGCCAGTGTTCACCATGGAATGGACCAGGCAGGGGCTTGTGTATACGAGGAGCAGCGTTCCAGGGACAGGGGCCTTTGGAGCCGGGCGAGAAGGGTGTGGTGAAGTCAGGGAGTTACTCGTTTCTGAAGCTCTCTTCTCTCTCATCCGCTGCCAGTCTTACTCACGGTTACATGTCTGATGTCAAGCGGGTCTCAGCCACGTCCATCTTCTTTGAGTCCATGCCCTATAAGCTAAATGTGAGTGCTGGGGCCCTGGCGGCCCTCCACTGGGGACAGTGAGGGGCTGGAGTCCTGGGCACCCTCCAGGGTCAAGGAGGAGAGTGAGCTGCCCTGCTTCCTTCTCAGGGCTTCAGCTTTTTGTTTGTCCACCCAGCCTAAAACCGGCCTCATCGACTACGACCAGTTGGCACTGACTGCCCGACTTTTCCGCCCGCGGCTCATTATAGCTGGCACCAGTGCCTATGCGCGCCTCATTGACTACGCCCGCATGAGAGAGGTTGGTGGAGGGCTGGTGTGCCAGCCACTTCCCAGGGCGGGTAGTGGGGAGATTTTGGAAGGGGGGCAGTCTTGGGGAGGCCTGTGTGGGCCCTTCCCAGGCTAAGGCCTGCCTCTGTACCTGCCCAGGTGTGTGATGAGGTCAAGGCACACCTCCTGGCAGACATGGCCCACATCAGTGGCCTGGTGGCTGCCAAGGTGATCCCCTCACCTTTCAAGCATGCGGATGTTGTCACCACCACTACTCACAAGACCCTTCGAGGGGCCAGGTCAGGCTCCCCTGAGGTCAGGCCTTGTCTTTCCCTGCCTTCACGCCCTATTCCAGGGGCATGGTCGGGCTGCATCTGAGAGGAGTTCGTTCCCACCTGAAACCCTGCGGACTTCTGCGCAGGCTGTGCTGACTCCCCTTGTCTTGCCTGTGGTGGCAGTTCCCTGCTAGGGGGGTTGGGGGTGGGACTGAAAGGCTGCTCTCCTTGACCACTGGAGTCCTGCACACCGGCCCAACTGAGGTAGACTCCCGAGAGCACAGGGGGCCCAGGCCAGCCAGCTTCCTCTGCTTTCCCAACCCCTCGTCCTTTCTTCTCAACTTAGATTCTAATCATCCACTTCCCACGTAGGTCAGGACTCATCTTCTACCGGAAGGGGACGCGGGCTGTGGACCCCAAGACTGGCCGGGAGATCCCTTACACATTTGAGGACCGAATCAACTTTGCTGTGTTCCCATCCCTGCAGGGGGGGCCCCACAACCATGCCATTGCTGCCGTAGCTGTGGCCCTAAAGCAGGTTGGGGAGCTGACTCTTGCAGTGGGGGGGCATTGGCCTGGGGCCTTAGACCCTGCTCCTTGCTAAGTGAATCGGAGCTGATAGAAGGGAAGTGTCTGGGTGGGGTCAAGCCTGGAGTCACAACTGTGCTGGAGGGGGAAGGGCAGAGGGGGTGGCGCTTGGGGTCCCAGGTGCTACTGTTTCATCTCCAGGCCTGCACCCCCATGTTCCGGGAGTACGCCCTGCAGGTTCTGAAGAATGCTCGGGCCATGGCTGATGCCCTGCTAGAGCGAGGCTACTCACTCGTGTCTGGTGAGCCAGGGGGGTGGGTGAGAGCCTCTGTAGCCTCAGACAGAGGCCTAGAACTCACCCCTCCCTGCTGACTGTCCCTCCCCTCAGGTGGCACCGACAACCACCTAGTGCTAGTGGATCTGCGGCCCAAGGGTCTGGATGGAGCTCGGGCTGAGCGGGTGCTGGAACTGGTCTCCATCACAGCCAACAAGAACACCTGTCCTGGAGACCGAAGTGCCATCACACCCGGGGGCCTGCGGCTCGGTGAGACCTGGGGTTTGAGGAAGGAATGATGGCTGCCAGGTGGGCTTGGACTGTGCTGATCCTCTTCTGCCTCTCTCCCAGGGGCCCCAGCCTTGACCTCTCGACAGTTCCGTGAGGATGACTTCCGGAGAGTTGTGAACTTTATAGATGAAGGTGTCAGCATTGGCTTGGAGGTGAAGAGCAAGACTGGTGAGTGGGAAGAACCTGGCTGGGCCAGCCATATGCTATCCGTCCCCCCCCCCCCGCCCCCCCGCCCGGCTGATCTAACTGCCTTCTCTATAGAGTTCTGACCGCTCTTTTCCTCATCCCCCTCTAGCCAAACTCCAGGATTTCAAATCCTTCCTGCTCAAGGACCCAGAAACAAGTCATCGGCTGGCCGACCTCAGGCAACGGGTGGAGCAGTTTGCCAGGGCCTTCCCCATGCCTGGTTTTGATGAGCGCTGAGGGCCCTTAGGAAATGAGGCCCACAGACTGAAGTTTATTCTCCTTCTGTCTCCCGGGGCCAATGGAGAGGAGAGCTATCTTTCCATTTTTTGCTGGAGGAGGGAAGGGCTCTTACCTTGGGAAAGACCCAGCTATATCCTGGACTTTGTACCTGAGAAGATTTCTTTTTGTAACTAGACTTAGAAGGAGGAAGCCTGGGGCTTTCTGCCCTGAGCTCTCCCATTATCTCAGTGTTACAGACTCCTTGCTCTTACTTGAAGAGAGGGGAGTTGCCCTTGTGAGCCAGAGGAAGGGGTGGGTAGGCACCCACCTTTCTGTTTTTATCTAATAAAATGCTATCCTGCCTTGAGCTCTCCTTTCACTGTGGGAGGGGTCCCCTGGGCCAGGTGGTGACTTGTCTCCCTCAATGTGTTCCTCCCTCCCCTCCCACCACCACCACCACCACCACCAGGACTTCCCCCCCTCCCCCCACCCCCCCACCCCCCGGGGCCGCAGCCTCCTTTCTCTGTCTCTGATCAGAGCCAACACCAGACGTGATTAGCAGGCGCAGCAAATTCAATTTGTTAAATGAAATTGTATTTTGCCCACGGCTGCTTCTGTTTGATCCCAGGGGACTGAAGGGAGCAAGGGAGGGGCAGAATGGCAGGGGGAGGCCCAGGTGCAAGGCCGTGGGAGGGGATGCCTGTTGGCCCGGGAAGCAGTGGGCTTGGGCACGGGGAGGCGCTTGCTGCGCTTCTCCGGGGCGAAGGTGCCTCATCCAGGGCAGGCCCGGCGGCGGCGGCAGGCAGGGCGGCCAGCGACGAGCCCAGTCGAGCCAGAGCAGCACCGCCCCTTCGCGGCGCCAGAGCCTGGCCTAACGCGGGGCCTGCCACGTCACTTGGCACCGAGAGGCCTCCGCTTGCTCTTGGCTCACGTTGGCCACGCTCAACACGTAGCCTGAGCCACACCCTGCAAGGCCCCGGTAGGGGGGCAGAGGGGCTGGCTTGAGCCTTTTGGGTCAACACACTGCCTGCCCTCCTAACTCCCCCCACTCCCCCCCCCCCCCCCCCCGCGTGGGACTCAAGCTGAGGGTCAGAGGCGCTTCCGCTGCGGGAGCAAGGGAAGGGGGTGGGGAGCTGTCTCCCCTCCTGTGGGAACCAAGCCTGTGGAAGCAGCAGCTGGGCAGGGTGACTAGAGTGGCGCCCTGGGGGCAGGGGGCAGAGAGTGGAAGAAATGAGTCGGCAGGCTGACTGGGGCAGGCTGACTGGCTGACGGTGGTTTACTGCTCGCTGGCACCCCAGCCAGCTCAGAAGTCCGGCCGGTCCTTCTTCAGCTTCTTATAGTCAGTGGAAACTGCAAGAAACTATAGGAGGGAAAGGGGCACTGAGTGCCCCAGACTTCCCTTCATGGCCTGGGGGTGGGGAGGGTGGTCCTGGGACCAAGAGGAACAGATGGAGGAGGTACCTTGTATTGGTCATTGGGGCTCAGGCGGTTCCAGGGCTCTGGGTTGTTCTTTCTGTCCCAGCTACAGAGAGGGAGGGGGAAGGTAAGGGTTCCTCTCTGGAAGCTAGGACCCTGGGGCCTAAAGTGACAGGGTCTCTGCCCCCCCCCCAACACCCCTGTCCTATCCTGGAGAGGGGGCTATTTCCCAGAGACTGACAGGGGTGGGGGCAAGTTAGCAGGTGCTGACAAGTGAAACAGAAGGCTGTTGCCACTGTCAGTATGGGGCCAGGTGACAGACTGACAACCCACCCAGGGCCTCCCGCCTGCTTCTTGCCTCCCTAGGTTCACCCCCAGAGTGGAGCGGCGGGAACGAAGCAGAGATCCTGAGGGGCTGGGGTTTCAGTGATCGCCTGCAATTCCGACGCCGGAGGTGCTCCTGGCACGGCCCGAGAGACCCCCACTCCCCACCCCCGCCGCCCTTGCTGGGGCTGGGAGTCTCCGCTCCACTCCAGCCCCAAAGGCGCCCCTCGCCCCTCACCCGGCCACACCCCCAGCGCTCAGGCGGGGAGGTGGAGGTACCTAAAGGCCTCCCGCCGGCCGAGCACGTCGCCATGGCAACCGGGCCGGGAGCGGCGCGGGTTCCGCAGCCCAAAGCGGGTCGAGTTTGGGGCCCCGAGGAGTGAGTGGTGGGTTGGACGCGTGGAGGGGAAGGCCGGCGCCGCCCGGGTCAGGAGCGGGCTGCAGGCTGCAGCCTGCAGTTGCCGCGCGGTGCACACGCAGGTGCGCTGCCCGGGGATCCCTGCTAAGACCACCCGTTCGCACTGTTCCTGAGAGGCCCTTGCGTTCCTACCCTTCCTTGCCTCACCCGGGCCCCCTGCTTGCGTCCCAGACCCGGCCTTTACCAGACGTCGGGGCTGCGCAGGGCGAGTCTCAGCAAGTACAGCGCCGCACTGCCCATTCCCAGGCCAATGAAGCCGATCATCGGGATGAGCTGCGGAGAAGACGGAGGGCACTTTAGCGGTCAGCCCCCTCCCTGCAGTCCCGAGCGCCCTTTACAATCTTCTCTGCCAGCACCCGCCCCCGCCCCCACCCCAACCCAAGTCTGGCACTCCCTCCCGTCTGGGAGAGAGAGGACCTGGAACCTCCCACACTACATTTCCAGCCTTGTCTCCCTCATCCCACAGCGAGCGGGTCCCAGGTGGTTTCAAGGGACACGGGGCATATTGCAGGGATAGATTGAGGGCACGCTGGAGAAAAATGAGGAGCACTGGGGGAACTGGGCAAGAGGCAGGGTACTGGGAGATTTGGGGGCCCGCCAGGGAAACGGGAGAATCAGGAGTTAGATACAGTGGCTCTGGGGACCGAACTCACTGCGGGATGTCTCTTGATCTGCCGGTAGAAGCGGGCCCCGAGGTTCGTTCCCGCCATAGTGCCTCTCCGCCGTCTGATGCTCCCCGGCGGCTCTGCTCCCTCGCTCCTCCTGGGGTCCCGCCCCCGACTGGGGAGGGGTCAGTCCAGCCCAGCCCGGCCCAGCCCGGCCCAGCGGGGCCCCGCTTCAGCAGGCTCACCCCACCCCCACTCATCTCTTCCTCCCGCAGTTCCCAGCTCCGAGCTGGAGAAGTGTCAGCAAGCAGAGGGCTTTCTGCTCTTGCACTCCTTCTGATGGCCGCACCCTGGTCCAGGGGACACCCTCACACCTGGGGTTCTGAACTGGTCTGAGAGAGAGGCAACGCAGGCTTTGACCAAGAGACTGATTGAGGGAGGATCCAGAGGTGGCAGGAAGAACTCACTGCGGGACAGGCAGTCAGACAGAGAGACTTGCAAGCAAAGTGCGGGGGTGGAGGGTTCAGGGGTGGGACCAGGAGGGGCCAGGGACCAGTGAGGGCATCTGAAGCACTTCCCGCACAGCCGTTGAGCTAATCCCCAGGGAGCTGGCAGATTCCCAAAGGCCCTAGTTCTGTCTCCCTACACAGTGTAGTGGGAGGAGGAGAGGGACAGACAGACCCACAGCACTGAAGCAGCCCCAGCTCCTCTAGTCATGGGTAGTTCTCTGAGTTGTGTTGTGGTTGGCTTGGAATAGTGGTTAGAGGTCAGAGGAGCTGGGTGTATTTTAAACCTGGCTCAGGATAGAGTAAGTCAGTTGTTAAGTTTGGGGTTTTGATAGACTTGCTTGCGCTGCCTCCCTCCCATCAGGATGAAGCCGGGGCCACCCAAGGAGGCTCTCTGTTTCTGGCTGTGATAGAGAGGAAGAGAGTGGGGTAAGGGAAATAGTCAAGGAAAGATAGAAAAGATGGTGAAGGAGGAAAGAGAACAAGACACAAGGAGATAGAAGGGCAGAGCAATCGCCTCCCTTTCTGCAGCCAAGTTCGGTGCCGGCTATGCTGCTGGAGTGGGAAGGCTCACTGCCATCGTCGTTGGGGAACTGCGGTCCTAGGGACCGAGCCTAGTCCTAACCACCTCTCCCCACCGCCATGCTAACTTCCGCCCTCTCATCTTCCTCCCTCTCACGCCGCCGGCGAATCCGGCAGAGCTCCCCCACTCCTCCGGTCCAGAGCCCTGTGGTGGCATGGACAGCGGTGAGTTGTGCACCCACCACTGGACCTGCGGGGCGGGGAGAGGTGTAGAGGGAAGGAAGCTACCCTTCTTGGCCTCCCCCCTCTTTCCCCGCGCTGATACCTCCCCCGCCCCCTGCGCTGACAAGCGCGGCTGTAATTAGGCTGCGGGGTCCCAGGCTCTCCGCCTCCCTCCGGCGGATAATGAGATAAAGTGTCAGAGACACGGCGAGAACAAAGAGACAGAGACTCGAAGCGATGCGTTTGGGGGGGGGGGGCGCGGAGGAAGGGAACTGACGGGATGTCAGAACCTGGAGCAGCGCAGAGCCCGGCCCTCCCTGAGCACTCGCACCTCCAGGACCCGGCCGGGGAGCGGAATGTCCTGGCCCTTGTGCCCCCCAGCCCTCCAGTCTCCGGGACTAAAAATCAATCCCGGAGCTCGAGCTCCAGGGGCTGCACATCTGGGCTGCACATCTGGCTCTGCATGGCACAGCTGGGGCGCCCGGACGCAGGCAGGGACGTCTGGCCCCCCCGTGCCGCGCCCCCTTGGCTTCTCGCGCCCTCGCCCCGGCTCTTGTACCATTTCTTGTGACTTTTGGTGACCCGGGTCTGGCGCGTTCCGAACTCTCCGCGCTGCTCCTTTGCTAGAGCCGCGGCTGTTCCTCCTGCCCTGGGCCTCCGCCCCCACTTTCCAAGCGCCTTATTACGTTATTGCTTCTGCTCTGGCCTCTCCAGGGCTCCTTGACCCTGCACCCGTTCCTGGTGCCAGTCCCTGACCCCGCCATTCTGCGATCCTACTTCTAAGCCCCCACCCATCTCTGGATCGTGATCTCTGGGGCCGAGCTGGGATACAGAACTCTGGGATACAGAACTCCGCGAGTTCCGGATCCCATGTCTCCCCACCTTCCCGCACTTTCCCATCAGAAAGACTCAGGCCGCGCTGACCGAGCCGCGTGAGGGACGGCAGAAGTCATTAGCTGAGGATCAGGCGTGGCCTGGGGCGTGCGGGGGTCCCGTGGGGACCAGATTCCGAACGCTAAATCGCACCGGGACACTAATCCGCGCGCTGGCGGCGCTGCTCATCAAAAGCAGCTGGGCTGGGCGGAGCGAGCTGGCTGCCGGGGTTGTAGGCGCGGGCGCCCCCTGGAGGTTGAGCTGCTCCCAAGCTCTTAGGGGAGATGCCTCGGGCGCCCCCTGTCGGGTCGTGCAGACTCTGCGCCCCACAGTTTTGGGCAGGTTAAGTCAGGGCCAGGAGCGTCGGTCCAAGCCCCGCCTGCCGCTCCCGCCACTCCCGCCGCCAAGGCATTGGGTCCCGCAGCTTCCCCTCTTCTGGTTTGAGGTGGGGCCGGGGGCAAGCGCGGAGAGGGGACGAGGGATCTGCCACCTAGCCAGCTGTGGGAGGCACCACAGGTTCAGGCTTGTCCCTCTCCCGGGGCTGGGTCTCTGCCCTAAGACTGCCCTCTGCCCCTGCCTGCCCCAGTCTCTGGCTGCCTTTCTTTCTGCTTCTTTCTTCTTCCGGCCCTGTCTACCTCGGTCTTTCTGTGTCTGTCTCTGTGTCTGTCTGTGTCTCTCTGTTCCTTATCATTCTGGCTGTGTCTGTCGGTCTCTCCCTCTGCCGCCCTCTCTACCAGGCTTTGTCCCTCTGCATCTGTTTCTGTGTCTCTCTCTGTCTCTCCTTCCCTCTACATCTCTCTGCGCTCTGTGTCTCTCTTTACAAATGCCTGTCTCTGTCTTTATCTCGTTCTCCCCCCTCCCATCCCCCAGTTCTATTCCTATTCTCCAGCTTGCTGCCCCTGGGGGGCTGCAGCAGTCCAACGAGACCAGCCTGGGGACACCTCAGGGCACTGCCCCGGGTACACTTCCCGGTCACCTCCACATGCCCGTCACCTCGGCGCGGACTCCGTCTTCCCTCTGCAGCCGTGGGGCGTGGAGGGGGCGCCCGGGAGGGAAGACACAGTGCCCAGCATCTGCTCGGGAGCCCCGGAGCCCCTGACCCCCTCTGCAGCTATTAAGGGCGCCGGGTCCCGAGGCTCCGAGAGATGATCATGATTGCATCAGCCAGACAGCCGCGGAGCTGGGAGCCGCGGGGCGAGCGAACGAGCGAGACAAAGACGCCCGCGCCATCTGTTTATGCAAAGCGCTCTCCGCCGGGGACCCCGGCGTCCCGGTGCCTGGCCCGGCTCGGGGCAAGGGGTCAGGAGCCCGCTCCCGCCCGGCGCCCCCGCCGCGCCGCGGCTACCCCCACCCCAGCACCCAGAGGGGCTGCGGGGCGAGCTGAAGGGAGGGGGCGGGGGGTGTTGATGTGATTGGAGCGGACGCGGCTGTTTCTTCAATAATGGATGGAGATGATGCGGACGGCGGAGCCAAGCCCGCCCGGAGAGGAGAGAGGAATAGAAATAGGGAGAAGAAGGGGCGGGTGCGGGAGACTCACCCGGGCGCGCGCGCGCACACACACACACATACACACACACACGCACACACGAGCGCGCGTGCGTCACAGTCATTCGGATACACGCTGTCGCGCGGCTCACACCCGGGCACACGCCCCCGCACTGTCACGGAGATACACGCACCTGCAGGCAAAGATGCCAGGGCAACACACACTCACCGCGGCTCTTCGTGATTCTCACACATACACAGTCCTGCAGGCAGAGACACGCGGAAATGCCCACACTCGGGGCACACCCAGGCGTGAAGATTGCACAGACACATAGACAAGCCAAAGCATGTATGCACATCTAGACCCTCAGGGGCTAAGCCGGACAAAAATCATAGAGGTGGGGGGGACAGAATGGGGACAAGTCCGACCAATACATACTTAAGGGCACAGACACACACCGGGGCACACATACCAACTTACACTAACAACTGGTGCTCTGATATACACACCTCACACACTTGGGGCACAGGCATACACACACACTTACACATCAGAGGCACAGACACCCATAATCTCCAGGGACTCAGAGGGACCCCCACCAACCCCCATGCATTCAGAGGTTCGCACACACACATGCAGGAGCTGCTGTCTCTGCTCTCCAGTGGTGGAGTGTGGCAGAGAGGTTGCTGGGGTTCTAGAAGCAGGCCTTGTTAGCGTAGCCACATAATGAGGTCTTAGTGACAGGAGATGCCTGGGGCTGTGGACCCTGCTCCCCTGCTTGACTGCCTACTAGCTTCCTTCCTTGGCCCCCAGGGTGGGTGGTGCAGACCCTGGGCCACTCTGACAACAGCCAGGCCAGCTGGTCCCAGCCCCAGCACTTGGGGAGGGGTGGGGAGCCACAGAGGGACATTGGTGGCTGCATAGGGGCTGCCAGGATTGCCCACACAGCCGTGAGGCAGGTGTGGAAAGGATGGTCACTCTGGACTCCCCCTCATTCCCCCGTGCTGCCCAATCTTCCCACTTGTAAGGGGTACTTTCTTTGCTAAGAGTGGAGTGGGTACCACAGAGGAGTAGGGTGCAGGTTGTGTCCTGGACCCGGGTAACCTGGCCCCTCCTCCAGTCTGTTTTCAATTCAGTCCGTTCCTTGGCTCAGACTTATGACCTTTGCTGCGTGTGGCAACATCATCCATCACCTAGGCGGCCGTTTGTGGGAGTGAGGGGCGTTGGGGGCTCACACAGGGGCGCTGATGCTCCTGCCTCCTTCATGAGTCCTGATCTCCGCTGGCAGGCCTGGGCTCAACCCGCGGGCCAGTACTGGGGGGAGGGCGCTGATCATGGGGCTCAATCGCGATCCTGGGCTCGTGTCCCCATCCCCGGCACCCCAAGCACCGGTCCTTCCAGCTCGGCACAGCCGGCCTCCCCGCTCCTCCTGCCCTCCCTCTCTCGGGCCCTTTGCTTAATTTCCTATTAACTGCTGATAAATCCAATTAAACCGCCGCTCTAATTAGGGACAGCT